CCAGGGCGCTCCGCGACTCACTGGGACCTCGCGTCTCCCCCGCTGGCCCAGGGCGCTCCGCGACTCACTGGGACCTCGCGTCTCCCCCGCTGGCCCAGGGCGGGTGCTTCGCAGTTGTTTGGTGAGCCACTGAAGGAATGAGGTCGTACTTGGCATGAAGCCATGTGATTTTCTTATGCTTTAGTTGAACATAACTTGCACAACACATAATTGACGCATTTGGAAGGATGTAAATGCACTAGCAATTTAGGAAACCAAAGCTGATTCTTACTCTGACTCCTGGCTCTTCTATGTTTATTATATTGTGGCAAAGTGGCACATATGTCCCCCCGCAACCCCCTAAAAATACTCTATTTCTGTCATTTTCATGTTTACTTGTAACCTGAAGCAACATGGAGGTCTGTGCAGAGTGAACACACGTTATGGTATGTGTGTCCCAAGGGGGCTTCATGTACCCAATGGAGTTCAATCTCGGAGTCCCACCTGGCAGCAGATTCTTTTCGTGTTTTTCTTATGGCTCAGTTTTGGAATTGACAGTTTAACTAAGGGAGTCAAGATGGAGTTAGGGAGAGACTGCAGGTTGTTGGTTTTTTGTTTGTTTTCTTCCTCATTAAAGTCTGCTGGTGTACATCATGACAATATATTTACTCAATTGGCATTAAGCTTTGAAATCTATTTGTTAATATGCATTCCTCAGCATCAAGTAAAGGGTAGCAGGTACCTCTCCAAAATTAGACTTTATTTATTTATTTATTTATTATTATTATTATTTTTTATTGTGATTTGGGTGAAGATTTACAGAGCAAATTCACTTTCCATACAGCAGTTCACATATACTTTGTCTCATGTAGACTTTATTTATTCTTACAATTGAATCTGAAGTTTATTCTTTTATTGTGATTTGGGTGAAAATTTATGGATCAAATTCCTTTCCCATTCAGCAGTCAAACACATTTTGTTTCATGCCATTGATTGCAGTCCCCACAATGTAACAGCCCTCTTCTCACATCCTCTCTCTGGTTACCTTTTCCCTGTGTCCTTCTTTCCTATGCATTTCTGCCCAATTGCTGCCGTTCAGATGTACCATGGTTGATTGTTCCAAGGAGTGTATCTCCCTGGTGTAGGGTTCAGCTTGTAGGCTTGACTGTTACTTGGCTGGAAGTTAAGCCACGGGAGTGAGTTCAATTCCAGGCCTGAAGGGTAACCACAGGTCACAGTCTTGGGGGTTTAACTGGTCTCTATAAGACCAGCTAGACTGTTTTTCCTTTTTATGATTTTGAGTTTTGTTCTATATTTTTCTCCTACTCTATCCAGGATCTCCAATGTTGATCCCTTTCTGAGTGGTTGGCAGTGGTAGCTGGGCACCGTCTAGTTTTTCTGGTCTCAAGGTCATGGAGGCTGAGGTTCCCATGGTCCACTAGACCCTTGGACTGGTTGTTTCCATGCTAGACTTTGCTTCTTCGTGTTAATGATTTGTTTTGGCGCTTAGGACACTCCCTTGTGCACAGGCTGAATGTGTGTTCTCAGGGTGCCCTGCAGAGCTCACCCACTCCACTCCATTTACCCCTCTGTGGCCTCTCCTTTATGTCACTGTCCCCAAACCAGACTGACGTACCTAACATCCCTGTCTCAGCACCTTTGGGCACTAGTACTTTTGTCAGCTAGTATTTCTTACACATGTATCCCAAATTCTACATCAGTCATCATCGCTGTGAAAGTGCGTTGAATACTGTTTTGGTTCCCTAGTGCCGCTCTAACAAGAATATACCACAAATGGGATGACCTTAACAAACAGGCGTTTATTCTTTTACAGTTTGGAGGCTTTAAATCCAAGTTCAAAATGCCAGGCTCTAGGGGCTGGGTGAAAGCCCCTCAACCTTGGGGTTCAGCTCTGCCTCTTGTTCCTGGCCCACTGGAGCTAGAGGCATTTCTTCACTCAGACAGCTGCTGGCTGCTGAGGCTGACAAACCCAAGGTTAACAAGTAAAAAGGCACAGTCCCGATGTTAGCAAACCATACGGCAGGCCATTAACTCAAGTCTGTTGTAAGTCCCAAGGTCAGCAGAGCATGGCAGGCTGCTGAACAACAACATGGCTACATGCAGGGTCCAAGCATGCCATAAGCTAGAGACCATTCCCCAAGGCTTCTCCTTGTATACAGGAAGCAGACCACATCCCAAAGGCAGCTACTCAGCTGCTCACAGTAGATTCCACCATGGAGTTGATTACTGGTCTCATCATGGGGAATACTACATCCAGCTGCCCAGCCACTCAGCCAGGCCCAGCCAAGTTGACACACAAGCTGAACTACTACAAATACAATCTGAAAGCAGGTTTTCTATCAGTGAACTGTTACTCTAAATATTGAATAATTTGATCACGATAAGCAGTGAGTTGTTAGAACGTCGTAGAACGACGTGAGATTGTGTTTCATGAGCTCATTTTATAATTGTGAAACTTTCAGCCCCACGCCCCACAGTCGTGTGGTGGTGAGCCATTGAGTCGATTCCAGCTCTTAGCAGCCCCATGTGACAGCATAGACCTGCCCCATCACAGGGTTTCCTAAGATGTCATCCTTATGGTACGGGAGCCCTGGTGGTGCAGTGGTGAAGTGCTCTGCTGCTAACCGTAAGGTCGGCTGTTGGTACCCACCGGCCACTCTGTGGGAGAAGGATGTGACAGTCTGCTTTCATAAAGATGTAGAGTCTTGGAAATCCTACTCTGTCCTGTAGCATTGCTTTGAGTTGAAATTGACTCAACGGCAGTGAGATTTCTTTGGTTTGGAATCTATTATTGCTATTGTGTATTAATGCATTGTTTTTAGTAAAATGCCATTATTACATGGAGTAGGTCATCTGTGGAAGTTCCTGATGGTCCCCTCTAAGAAATGCTTTAAAATGTTCTCTGAAATCTTTTGAGGGAGGGGCCAGCTCTCTTAAAGCTTCTCTAAGAAAACCCACGTTCAAATGTAATGAATGTATCCCGAGTGGAGGAGCACACGTCAGAAGTGCTTGTGATGCAGATACAGACAGCTGAGAATGGCAGTGAGCCTACCAGTGCTCGCCAGTGCCATGGTGCTCACCAGTGCCACGGGGTCCAGGGTAGAGAATCCCTGCCTCTGGCAGGCTGGACTGCTGGGTGTGTGTCCTGCCCCTCTGCAAGGCCGCGGGGTCACCACTTCCTTCTGCGTAAAGTGTGAGCTGTCCGTCGAGGTGTCCAGGGTCTTTGATAGTAAATAAACAGACACATTTCTTGTCTACAGCCTGCCTTTTTGACTTTACCTCCTTCCGGCCCTCTTCCTCCTGTTTCACTCAGCCGAGTGGTGCTTCTCTCTGTTCCCCGGCCAGGCCTCTCCCAGTCTCACGACAGAGTCTGTAGCTGGGCGCGTTGGCTTCTGTCATCTTTCTTCTGTCTCTCCTGCCTGTGTGACCTCACCAGCAGGGTCCAGGAGGGTACACGGGTCAACTCTAGCTCCTTGACTCCCTGTAGCCTCACCATGCTTACCAACTAGGTGCTGCACAGCTAACTTCTAAGTGTGTGTTCGTTTGGGTGTGTTATTGTTTTATATGTGTTCCATGTCTGTCGTCAACCATATTGTACTGTTCTTAAGAACAAGGATTGTCTTATTTCTTTTCTTGGCAGTGACGTGCAGAACACACCCCCTGGCTGATAGACATCATTCCAGCCTCAGAGCCATTGATTGGAAAGCACTATGATGAGTTTTTTTGGGAAGAGAATATCATGTTTTTTGGATGACATTTTTGGTATTTCAGATTGAGATAAAGCATTGTGACCCCAGGAGG